TAAGGTAGCATACAGACATGGCTCCCATACAAAAATTCAATTTTTTTGTGATTTTTTCAAGGAAACTGTATCAAAAATTGATTGTATCTCAAAACTAACCTCGGATTCGATTTTTTCGAGCCAGAAAACCCCTCAATACATATTTTTGAGTGTTTAAGTCTACATTAAGTATGACTTTTGGACGAAAATTGGACTCTTTTTCATTGGTATCACTCCAGGCATGAAATTTTTTTCCATCAATCAAAGTCGCTCAAAATCTAATGATTTCTATTCCACGACACCCTCAATCATCCTGTATAGTCAGATTTTAAATAACTTTTTTGGGGGGAGAGTTATTGTGTTAACAAATTTTGCGTACGGCGGACAACGTACAACGTGGAACAGACCCACAACAACCATGCTCAAAACGGATTGATTCGGGTTCTCTCACCTCAGAAACGTCCAGAAAACATGTTTTTGAGGTGTCGTAAATTTTGACCCATTGCAATACTTTCCCCTTACATATTAGGTGTGTGCGGAAAAGTAAAAGGAACTTACATCCGTAAGTTGAACTTTCCCGCACTGTTTCCAAATTTCTTTCTTTACCGAACGAAAATTTATTTTATTATTATTTATTTATTGGCCGATTTATAGAATATTGTCGATTCAATTGTGAATAAATAATTAAGGTACCTTCTTTTGGCTCAAATACGAAAATTTTGCATAGGTGATGACGAGGGTTCCTAGAGGTCGGATGAGCCCCCCCCCCCCCCCCCCCAAAATATTTTTAGGAATCCTCAATAATTTTGGAAATGAGGACCTTTTTTTTTGCTCTTCACTTTCTTTGGCCGAGAAAATTCTTCCGATTTGCTAGGGATTTTCGCCTCAAAAAGTGACTTCCAAAAAAAACGATTTTCTTGTCATTATTGGATTTGCAAGGCAATTTGAAATAGGAAAATTCTTTCGATTTGCTAGGGATTTTCGCCAAAAAAGTGAAGAGAAAAAAAACGATTTTATCCTCATTTCGTACAAGTTGTTGACATCGTCAGGGACCCCCATGGATTTTTCCAGGGACTCCCTACGGAATTTTGCCATCACCCCCCTAAAATTTTTTACGTCATCATCTATGAAAATTTTGTATGGGAGTTGCCCTTGTTTTTGATTGAAATTTCTTCAAATTTTGTGAACTCCTATAATTTGGAAAGAAAATATGATTCACAAGTTTTCAAATATTTTTGTATCGTTTGAACACCAACCCCCCTAGTTACGCCACTGGTGCGTGACAAGTGAGTAAGTCTCTTTTCCCAACAATTGCAAGACATTTGTTGAATTTATGCTGGAACTACATAAACTTGCCGTATTCATTGTACGAAGCGCGTATTTATTCAAAAAGTCATTGCATTTGTTTTCGTAAGAAGCCCCTAGGAGATACTACCTCGAATTCAAAGTAAATCTGATACTGATAGGGATTGAAAATAAAAGTGATATATCTTATATATTTTCAACGCGAGCCAGTATCTCATTTGTTTACTTGAGCAAACTTTAGCAATCACAAGGGGAATTTCATAGAAGGTTGATAATACTAATAATAACCTTGGATCTGGTAGAATAATCTTTTTGCTGGCTCTGGCTGCTGGTGTACATTTTGACTTTTCCATGGCCATCAAATAGCTGACATCGGCTAGAACGGCTTCTAAATCGGCCATTTTTGACTAACTGATCTCGTGTTCCAGAAAAAAATTAAATCAAGTAGTTTGAATTCTTTGTAAAAAAAATATTGAGACACGTAGAGTAATAATTATTGGAGTGATAGTTTTTTACCACATTAAGTTTAACTTGAATATTTCTTATTTTAATCAGCCAAATTCTCACATAATAATTTATTTGGATGCGTATAATTATTCAATATTCGTTTAACACTAATCATAACAACTCTTATTTATTATTATCATTATTAACTTTAATCATTATTTTTAACTTTTATTATTGTCAATTCAAATTTCGAATATTTTATTTTCCAGGTATCGAAAAAAAATATTTCAGCATATTAAAGTTCACATTGATGGCGTTTTTCACTTCAGTTAAATTGACTAAAGTTCACAAACACATTTCGCTTAATTCATCACTTCACTTCACTTCAATAGATTTGACTTGTAGCTCGTTGGTTATTTACATTGTATAAAACACAGTTGACCAAAATACGGGTTCTCTCTGTTTTTCACTGTCGAGTCGCAGAAATATGCAAGATAAGAATTCTTATAAAAGAAATTCACTTCTATCGATCACTATAATGAGTTGATATAATAATAATTGCAACATAATTGTAATTTGAATTGATACATGGAAGAATGCCTCGTTAAGTTTGTTGGCGCGCGCTCAATTTAATGTACCTTTTGGCTGTAATGAAAGAAAAAAGGCTTAATAAATTTGGATAAATTTTCATTTGATATAATTGATCATTTGACACTATTCTTACAAAAAAGATTTCACATGCTTGAATAGAATGTCAGATGTGCTTGGTAGTCTCTACATTCTTGTGCCCCGCCCTCTTAAGATGGTTGAAAAGTGAAAAAGAGTTATTTCCATTCGGATCAGAGCTGTGTCGAAAACTTGAAAATGGACATGCATCAGACAAATATGTACTGACGTCGCTACCCTCCGCACTGGCAGAGAGGCCCAAATGTATATCGTTTCAGATTATATTTATACAGAATTTTTGTCGACATTTGACCAGTGAATTATAACAAGTCGCAAAATGAAAAATCGACAACAGCATCGAACGTTGAAAACAAAAGAGACACACAACAACAGAACAAAACGATTATCTTGTCTCTTTCATTCTCAGCATATTCGTATGACGATTGTGTGATGAGACACTTTTGTTATTTTTTTATTTTTTGCTTTTTTATTTTCTAAATTTTATTAAATAAATGAAGAAAGAAAATCTTGGTGGTGATTTGAAGTAAAAAAAAAATCACAAAAGTGTCTCGTCACACAATTGTCGGTCGTTTATCACATCACGCTGAAAATGACTCTCAAAACTTCTTATTTGTACTCTGAGCAAAGAGTGAGTGTACGGCAGAAGTTCAAGAGTTTTACGAAGATTCAATGTAAAATTCGTGTATAAGAATAACATAGAGTTCGACCCCAAGCAACCAATTTGTAACGTTTTTCATCCATTTTAACGTTGAAAAATGTAACGCTTTGACCCATTTTGGTGGTCATTTTCGTGTTAAATAAAAGATAGATTATGTGTGTAGTTTTCACATTCCACAGCACAATGTGAACCAAACCCAACACAACGTTAAGTTTTAATATAATATTTCAATTCTAATGATTCATTTGTCGCAGAAAAAATAATAAACAATTGGTATACAAAGAAATTTGATTTTTGTTTCAGCAAGAGACCTTTTTTCGCATTTTTTAAACGTATATATATTATTATTTTTTATTTCATGAATTTAAATTCAAATTTCGAATTCGAGACCTATTGGAATGTGTATGACATTTGACAGTTGGCTGTTCTACATGTCGAAACGAAGCCAACAGTATTTGTTTACATTCAAAAATTCGCCTTGTAATCATCGCATCGCATCACATCGCGTTAGTTTTTATACAAATGATTCCTTTCATGTGATTTCAATGTATGTTGCAAAAGAATAAATTTATTTCAAAGTGATTTAATGAAGTTTATGCCATAATTTAATGTAATTCTTTTTACGTTTTTAATTTTTAATTGAGTGTAAATAGGCAAAGGTCAATAAAGCAAGGACTGCCGTCGATTATCCGTGAAAGATATCGGGATGTAATTGTCGCAATCATTTCGTACTTATCGGTGAAGGCCACGAAGATCGCATGCCTTGCATCGTTACTATTTTTGATGAAGGTAAGTACACACATTGCTTTGACCAAATTTCATTTTTCGTCATTATTTCATCATTTTTTCGACAATATGCGATCCATTGTATTTATATGAATTGATTTGATTGTTTGTCTCAATCTCTCTCTCTCTCTCAATGTGTTCTGTGTTTCTTGAATGGGTCAATGAAGCACTCGACGATTTCAACTATGATTTTTTTGAAACCGATGAACCATCAACGATCATACACAACTGTTTCGTTCTTGTCGATAACATTGGTAACATATCGCGTATGTTACCTGGTTTCCGCAACATTGTCGACGCTGCACACATTGACTGGCCCACAAACGGTGGGTTTGGGAATGGTTTCAAGTATTTGTGGGAGCAGTATCGCGACAACGTCAAGACGAACCTGACAACGCACTGCGAGTCTCGACTGCGGAAGTTTTTTAAAATGAGAGCATTCGAACTCAACGACTACACCATCAAGTACAATTATTTCAAGAATTTGTGCGGTTTGATCGAATTAGAATTGCCATACTATGACGATGGAGATATAAAAAATGCCATCAATTATACTTATTGTCGTCGAAACACCGCAATTGGCGACGTTGAACGTGAGATGCGATTGGGTGAACTATTGATGAATTGCGGAGCACCGGACGATTGCAACATCCGTGACTTTGTGAAAGAGGATTGGTTCACGTCGATTCGCATGTGGTCGGAAATTCTGCGCGATATTCGGAACTTTCACTTTGCATACGAAGATAGTCGCGACAAACCGCAAATAAAAAACTTTGTCGTTGTGCCGATGTGCACTTTTCAGCGTCGACACATTCGAATTGACACCGACGCATTGTACGTTATCCTATCGAATGCGAAATTGGTGCCTCGAAAGTGCGGTAAACGAACATACAAAGACGGAACAACGAATTTCAAAAATATTCAGCAAAGAATTCACCATGAATAAAATCCTAAGTTGGAATTTATTCTTCGATGTGGAAAAAATTCTCAAACTTGTGCACAACAAAAAGTAATTCGATTCTCAAATTTGTTCCGATGCTGTACAAAAAACCGAAAGTAACACCAGTCGAGACAACAGATGACGAAATCAAAGCAATGTATGACAGCAACGAGTTGATATGCTGTTGGATGTGATCTGGGTATGCGTACGTGGAACGCTTCCGTACGACGATATTTGCATACCAAAGATGAGGTAAATTTGCCATTTAATAATGAGTGAAAGTGATTGTTATTGTGAATACAACGTTGTTTTGTTAGGTGAATTTACGTATATCCAGCAAGCGATATCACTGGGATGCGAAACAAGGCCGACGTAATGCAAAAGCCGAACAAATCACACGATTGTTTACTTTCGAAGAGCAAGCTGATCGTAATCGAATTGCAGCTATGATTGGTGAAATGCCATCGCCAAAAGGACCATCATGGCGTTCGTACATCGAACATCGATTACGTGTAATGAATGATGGCATTGAAACATATTCGACCAAACAGTATGCACGCTTGGGACTGGACAAGCATATCGAATCGGTTCATGCAATCGACAAAACGGCATGCAAAATGGCTCACAATCAACCATCAATTTTCTACATGGGAGCCAGCGGATCAACACCAGCTAATTCGCCGATTAAGATCAAGAAACATGTGCGATGTCCAGGCACACGGAAGCTGCTTGAGGCCATTATGAAACGTGGCAATTGCATCATTCGAATGGTCTATGAGTACATGACATCACAGCATTGTCCGTTGTATTTCAAACGATTTCCACAACAAACTCGACGTGATCGATACAAGGCATGCGAGATATGGGCGATGTCATTGCTGCAACTCTTCGAGATGGACCGAATGCAGGTCGTTTGGTGTCAAAGAAGCAACGCTTCTTCAAAACATGGCTACCAAATGTTGCAAACTTTGAAATCGAGGGAGCTGCCGGAGCACGACTAACGCTCACAACTGTATGGCATCGTGATATCGCTGCAGCGGAGATGATCCTCTACAAAGGTATGCACTATGCAATCAATTGAAATTGATACACATTGTAAAGCAATTGTTGTACATGTAATGTGTTTTTGTTATATATCATTCGGTAGGTGATACAACATCATTCAATCAAATTATAATTTAGAAATTAGTTTATAACAATTATTTGTTAGTCCGCTAGGCTTGATTAAATTGTGGCCTTGCCGAACTACGAGTTACCTCTTGGTATAAATTGTACTCGGTAAGTGAAGTTTATTGCATATTGATAATTATGAATGATCTCAATTTTTTTCATATTAATCTAATTCATATCGACTTGGATCAATTGCTGAGTGAGTGTGGAGACATATCGTTT